GACGCGAAACCTTGTCCTTTATGTCTGCTGCCAGAAGGGGGCAAACCTGCCCAATTTTGAGCACAGGCACCCCTTCACGGATTGCTGCCTTGTCGTGGCGCAGGGGCTTGAGCAACTCAGAGAAGCTATGGGCTATGCAGTGCAGGGACACCCAAGACGGACAGGTCATAGTGGAGAGTTCGGATTAAACGCGATCCACCTGGAGCAGGAACTGGCAAGCCACTCCAGTATCTTTGCCAAGAAACCCCCATGATCAAAAACAAAAGGCTAAAAGATATGACGCTGGAAGATGAGCCCCTCAGGTTGGAAGGCGTCCACCATGCTACTGAGGAAGAGCGGAGGACAAGTACAAGTAGCTCCACAGCTAATGAAGTGGTTGGGCCAAAGCCGAAAGGACGCTCAGCTGTGGACGTGCCTGGAAGTGAAAGGAAAGTCTGATGCTACAAAGAAAAATACTGCATAGGAACCTGGAATGTAAGATCTATGAACCTTGGGAAGGCGGATGTGGTCAAAGAGGATGACGTGGTTGGATAGTATCACTGAACATGAATTTGACCCAACTCCAGGAGGTGACGTGGTTGGACAGTGTCACTGAACATGAATCTGACCCAACTCCAGGAGGCAGTGGAAGACAGGAGGTCCTGGCGTGCTCTGGTCCATGGGGTCACGAAGTGTCGGACATGACTTAACGACTAAACAACAACAACCCCATCCAAGCACTTCATCCAAGGGAGAAGGAACTAAAAACCCAGCTGGGCAAGTCATGCAATCCATACAGCCATGTTCAGCTACGACACAGAATTCATCTCCGTTCTTTGTCACCTTCCAGCATCTGTCAAGAAGGCAGCCAATCCCCAGGTACCAAAAGGATTGGTCACCGCTCTGTCCAAGACACTGGGAAACAGCTGAAATTCCCCTGGCAATCCATCTCAAACCAGTTTCGGACTGGATTAACCGTTAAACCAGATTAAATGAAAACTACAGGTCCCATCATTGTTTGATGGTGCAGCCAGGACAGTGAAACTGAATATAAATTTGTGGTACAGTGGGACCCCGATATCCAGGAGATCCCCATCGCTGACTCGCTTATTCACTGCCCGAAAACAAATGACAAAACCTCTTCCCCCTGCTTGGAAAGCCCTCGCTGACACACAGACCACACAGAGACACGGTGGACCCGTGGGCAAAGATACAGCTGGCTGGGATAAGGCATCCCAGGCCGTCTGAAGATCCCTTGCCTGGCATGTGGAGAGCGATAGATTCAGTCCTGGGCATCCTTGGCTAAAGGAGGCCACAGGGAGGACTACAACTCCTATCATCCCCAGCCACTTGCTTTGAGGGCTGGGACCCAAAATGAGCCGGACAACATCTGGAGAACCATAATGGCAACACGCTTAACGTCAAGCAACGGTTCCAACGGAAACAACGGCTCTCCCAAAGCAAAGCCGACCAAGAATCCTGTAGCATCTGAAAGCTGAGACAGTTTTACTTGGCAGAAACTTTTATGGAAGTAGAGCTTACTTCTTCTGAAGGGAGTGGCCATCACAGCAGGCACTCATTGCCTTCAGATCACACCCTCCACATCAGTTGGGCTCTCCAAGAAGCTGGCTCCCAACACAACCAAAACAAAAAGCTTGTGTTTTTAACACACACACCCAGGAAGGATTTCTATGTCATTTACAGGTATTTTATCATTATTGTTCTCATTTATGGTGAATGGGTGGGTAGGGGGAACAGAGTTTAGGAGAAACAGTGAGTCATCATCATCATCATCATCATCATCGTCATCGTCATCATCATCATCATCATTATATCCAATGGTACTACTAGTGTGCCTATAGTCACAGATGAATCATCTGTAGCAGGTTTAGTTTAGGAGAAACAGTGAGTCGTCATCATCATCGTCATCATCATCGTCATCGTCATCATCATCATCATCATTATATCCAATGGTACTACTAGTGTGCCTATAGTCACAGATGAATCATCTGTAGCAGGTTGTGGTACTACTAGTGTGCCCTAAAGTCACAGATGAATCATCTGTAGCAGGTTGAAGAGACAGCATATAAAACATGTAGGAAGAAAAATAGTGGCCGAAAAGAGAGTGGATTTTTCATTGTGGTTATTAAACGCCTATACCCAACTGAGGTGTTTCTGTGCCCTGCCAGAGGAGAATGTCCCATGGATCACAGCTTGGAAATGTAGGTCAGGATCCAATTGCTGGTCTCACCTAGACAGCAGATCCATAGGACTAAGCAACAGGATCCGGGCATTTCTTTCTTTTGGACTACAGATCCCAGCATACCCACCCCCAGCCTGCAGGACCATACAGCTGGGGACTTTCTAGCACTTTGTAGCCCCCCCCCAAAAAAGGTACTTTGCCGCTCATTGAGGATCATGGATACAAATCTTTCTTTTGGACTACAGATCCCAGCATGCCCCCAGCCTGCAGGACCATACGGCTGGGGACTTTCTAGCCCCCCAAAAAAGGTAATTTGCCGCTCATTGAGGATCATGGATACAAATCTACCGAAAGGATGCTTAAATAGAAATGGCCCTTTTGTCATAAATACAGTGGTGCCTCGCAAGACAATTGCCTCGCGGGACGATTAATCCACAAGACGATTAGTTTTTGCGATCGCTGCTATGCTTTGCAAGACAATGGTTTCCTATGGGGGATTTTCCCAAGACGACGATTTTTCCCCATTGGAACAACTTAAATAGATATCACTGCATTCCAGTGGGGAACTGCGTCCCGCAAGACAATGTTTCCTATGGACAATCGCAAAAACTTAATCGCTATGCGGATTCGTCGTTAAACGGGGTGCTTGTTAAGCGAGGCACCACTGTACTCAGAAGTGGTTTCCTATTCCCTTCTTCTGGGGGAGCCCTGGGACTGTGCAGCTTGCCCAAGGCCACCCAGGCTGGCTCTTCTCCTAGAAAGCACAACAGGGGAATCAAGCTCCCAACCCCTGGTTCCTCAGCCTTATGCTCCAACTCCTGAACTATCCAGCCAGCTGATTTTCTTATAATTGCACATATAAATCCATGTTTTCAATCTTTCTCCTCATCCCAAAGGCTCAGAAAGGTTCTCTCCGTCTGGTTCACTTCTGCACCAATCCTGTGCATTTTTGGTGTTTACACAACGCAAGAAGAATGAAAGAATGCAGTTGAGTGTTTGGAGAACCAACTAGGAAAATCCAGTTTTCCATCTCTCTACGTGGCCTACCTCACAGGAGTGTTATGGGGAAGAGTGAAGTACGTTTCCCTTGAGCTTCATGGAGAAAATGCAGGCTACATATTTTGTTAATTTCAAAAAAAGGAGACCTGGAGAGCCCAGGACTCTGAAAGGCACACAAGATTCATGTACATCAAAGCAACAATTTCATCCACAAAATGAATGGGATACGTGGAGCCATGTTGTACACCCACTTTTTCAACATAACACTCAAACACACACTTATGGGGAATTCATTTTTCTCCTTGGCCATGCAGAAGGGCCACAGATTTAAATGAATATCCGGGGGGGGGGGACAAAAGGAAAATGAACGAATAAAGAATACGAAAACTTTGTGGCACTTTAAAGACTGACTATGATATTTCAGCTGTGAGCTTTTGTGGACAACAGAGCAGTTCATTGGTCTTTCAGGTGCCACAAACTTTTTATCTGCTTTATAGTTCCTTTTTGTTTTGGCCTGATATGCTAGCACAGACGTACACGCCCACCGCTTCTAAAACTACAACTGAATGAAATGACGTTTACTCCTACGTAAGGGATACAGGGGCTTGGTACGGCTGCCGTTCACCATCTTTTCATCCAGCCGAGGGCAGAGAACAAAACCTACTGCAGGGAATGTATTGGATACCATTTAATCTCGAACTCAGAGCTTTCTACCCTTCTTGGATTGTTGCAATATCATCAAATGGGCAAGCTTTAAAGTTGCACAGGGCTGTTCTTCAGGCTTGGACCCCGCGAAGCATGCAGGAAAGGGGACAGAAAATTGTAAAAATCAGGACAGTTAAATAATCATCTAAGGGCTTTCCTCTTCTCTCCCACTATAAAGACCAGAGGCACACATTAATGAAGATTCCTGGGACTTGATATTTTTTAGTGATCCTACAAAGGCATCATCCGGCCCTGATTTTTGCATTTTGCTCACAGACCATAAGTTTGGGTCTGGGGTTGCGGTGGGTTTTTTTAGACATAAAATACAAGGCGTACAACCAGGTGCAACCCAAGAGGAAAGATGCTCAACCTGTTCCTCTAAAGAGGATGCGGGTCTGAACGGAGAAAGGGTGATGCCCGCTCCATGTCTCTCTGCTCAAGCCTGCAAAAAACACGCTCCAAACTTTTTAAATCAACGAGGGTGGTGGGGGGAGGATTCATGGCCCTCTCAGCTGTTGTTGATTCCAGGCTCCCATCAGCCTCTGGCAACAGGGTGACAGGTAATGGGATTTGTAGTCGAAGGCTCCGCCTTCCCCCCCCCCTTTGCTTTCAGGTAACCATGCTAACGCCCAGCTTTCTAAACTCCATCCGAAGGCCGCCTAAAAGCATCATCACAACGAGGCAACAAAGTAACAAGGGCAAACCACAAAAAAGAAACAAACAGGCGTTTTAAAAAAAAACCAATTAAAAACCAGGCTCAACGCGGGCAATGTAACTGATTTGAAAAAACGAGGGGAGAAATGAAAGGCGAAAGAAGAAGAGCGGAAGCAGGTCCGTCTGTAATAGTTTTTTTTAATTTCCTTTTTGCACGTTGTTTCTAATTTAATTTTAATTAAAATTTAATTTTAATGCTTTTTTTTTTATTGATTCGTGAGCCGCCCTAAGCCCCAAGGCCGAGAGAAAGGCGGCAGAGGAGCAGGAGAAAGAGGGTGAGAGATGGAGATAGAGATGTCCCGGTTTCCAGGCTTTCAGATGCCTTAACAGGGTGACACGGAGAGGCGCTCCAACCTACCGAGTTGACTCCCGACTCTCCCCCCCCCAAGCCCCTGCTCACCTTTGGGCAAAGACATCGCTGGGAGACTAAGTCCAAGGGTAGGTCGGCCCAGCGCGGGGACTTGCTCGCAGGCTGCGCCTTCTTAGATCCGGCTATAAACGCCCAGGTAAGGCGGCAGGTAAAAACGGGACATGTCCAAACACCGTCTCGGCCCCTGCCAAGCCTCGGGAATCCAACACTATCTTCTTCCGACTCAACCTCCAAACAAACAAACAAGACTCACAGCCGACCGTCCTACTCAGGCTCAGCCCTCTCTCCCCCTCCCATTGGCTAATTTATTTAAAGAGGCGCGGCTTTTGTTAAAAAAAAGTTTCAGCTACGAAGACTCTTGTGTCATCTCAAAGCCTACACATGTCCCTACCATGTAAGGCATTCCTGTTCTTAATCATACCTCTGGTGATATTCTTTAGTGTGTTTTTTTTTTCTTGCTAGCCCTGACCTTTGGTTGAATATTTTAATTTGCTAACATCGCCACTTCTTGCTTCCTTTTTGGCTCTTTAAAAAAAATATGAAACAGTGGTGGTGTTGTGGTTTTTATTATTTTTATATAGTTCTGCACCACCCGCGAAGGGGGGGGGAGCTTTCCCAGTTTACATGGCCAAGCTAAACAACCTTAAGCAGAGACAAGACATTAAAATATTGGATCTCGAGGAGATGAGAATTAAATTCCGTGCTAGCAGCAAAATGATGATCTGGATGCTTGATGTCATCATCCAATATGTTAGGTTTCAAAACGCCACAAGACTCTTTGTGGCTTAAAAAAACACACATTGTTGCTGTGCTTTTTGCAGCTTGCGATCCATTTTGGATACTTCAGCAGAAACTCTCCAGGACACGATCCCATGCACGAAGCGCCACCTTTTGAGTCACACCTTGCCTTTTCCGCCTGCCTTTTGCCTCCACCCCAAATTCTTTCTCAAGCGCCCTTAGAGGAAATTCCAGCTGTCATCCTTGGGCTTGTTACCATTGTTGTTGAGCTTCACTAGTGACACATCAGAACGTGCTCGGCCTCAGGGCGTCACAGGAGTCTTAGTCAGTTTCATGGGCCCGATCCATCCGTAAGTGCCTGTTGACTGTTTTGTTTTTGACTTCTGGGGCCGGCCGATGGCTCACTAAGGTCAAGTTTGTGTGTATAGGACACCAAGAAGCATTTTCTTAGTGCTGCAGCCACTGGGCAGAGTCTGGGAATGTTATTTTCTTTTTTGGACTACAAGTCCCATTCTCCATGCCTGCTAGACAATTCTGTAAGGAGCAGCAGCATCCAATCAGTCAGCATTCTAGAATCAGCACCAATTCTAGGTAGCCCTTTAGAAAAGTGGCTGGATCCAAGTATTCTTGTACAGCTGAACCTGATTTCCATAGCATTGCACGCACGCACAAGCGTGCACACACCAAGATACATGGGTTAAACAATTTCCACCCTCAGTCCACATTGTTTCTCTTGGTCTTGTGACTTCTTCTTGCACTAGAACGGAGTCACTTTTGCGTGGGGAGGGGGGTTGAAATGTCCCGATTCCTTCGCAACAGCTTCCCCTTGGCTGTTCCGGATCGGCCCTTTCAGTGCACAAACACAAATGTTATTGTCTGTGGCACACTTGCTGGATGTGTCTGACACACCCCTTATGGTGCTTTGTTTGCCCCCCCAAATGTCAACATGACTCAGGACTAATTCACCGTCTCTCGTACACAAAGAGGATGACTGTGACTCCTTGAAATCTATGATGATTTTATGTGTCGTTTTGTTTTTTCGAAACAACTTTCAGACGGTATGCAGTTTCAGGAGAATTTGCAGGCATGCTGAGCGTGCCCCCACCACAGCATGGAAAAATTATTTTAAAAAAAACTGCAATTCCCAAAATCACCCTGCTTTGGCCTGGTGTCACCCTAGGGTGCTTTTAGAAATGTGTGTGGTGATCAGCCTCCAGACAAGCCAGCCCAGGTTAATCTGGGTGAGCAGCGATAAGAATAAAGACGATTGGTTGAAGGGGAAACATATCCATGTGTAATTGCCATGACAGTCATAGAACTGCAGAGTTGGAAAGGGACCCGGATGGATCATCGAATCCAACCCTTGTCAAGTAGACCCCATGGGGGATTCAAACTCCCACCCTCTGGCTCCACAGCCAGAGATCTAAGCCACCGAGCCATCTCATTCCTTCTAAACGCATTCCTGATGTGTCATGAGACTGCATCACTGTCGAGCATCCTGTTTCAGGACGAGCGTCCCATTGCGTCCACATATATCACAGCCCGTCGCGGTGCAACGCATGCGAAACTCCTGTGCATTGGAACAGCCCACAGAGATTCCACCTGAATGTCCCTTTCAGCGCATCACGACTTGGCAAAATGTTGCTTCCCAATCGAGGGGCCGGTCTGGCAGCATGGATGAGTGCTGGAGCAAAATATTCTGTTTCTCATGACACATCCATCATCCTTTTTTACTCACTGGAGGGTGTTTCTGTGTGCTTTCAAAAGGCCATTCCAACCAGCTATGGGGAATTCCAGTGAGATTCCAGAACCAGGTGCATCAGTACCGTGTTTCCCTGAAAATAAGACAGGGTCTTATATTAATTTTTGCTCCAAAAAAATGCATTAAGGCTTATTTTCTGGGGATCTTTTATTTTTTTCATGTACAACCACCTACATTGATTCAAATACAGTCATGTCATCTTCTGGTTGTTGCACAAGGGTGGAGGGTGGGGTTTCCCTTAACTGGAGCTTATTTTGGGGGTACGGCTTATATTACAAGCATCTTGAAAAATCATACTAGGGCTTATTTTCAGGTTAGGTCTTATTTTCAGGGAAAAAGAGTAGAAAACATTTTCAACTTCTGGGCTTCTGAAAGGTGGGGTACATTTATGCAGTGGACCTTTCTTCATATCAGAGAGTTGCACATCTTAAAGTTACGGACATATATGAAATACGGGTATAATTAAAAACAAATTTGAATATTAATATAATTAGATAATCTGGTGTTTTTAACCAGAAGCAAGCAACATCAACAATACTATATCAGCCCTTTGCTGGATCTTCTTTTGTACACGGGATGGGGCATAAATTGTATGCACACAAGAGTTGCATCGATTGAATTTCTCCCCAGTCACAGAAAAATTGCCCTGTATCCAAATAGCCCCGTTTCACTTGACTATTCTTTGATCTTCTTACTTGTCTTAACACAAAAAAGGCTTAAAGAACACTAATTAGTAATAACGGACAAATAAACCAACCAGCACTTAAAGCTCTCTCTGGGTGTTTTACAATCTAATTCTTCAGGTTAAACATTGCCACCACCTGCCAGCAAGCTGGATACTCAATATATAGTGACTGGGAGGATGGAAGGCTGAGTCAACTTCCAGCTGACTACTTGAGCCATTGGATTTGAACTCGGCTCCTGAGCAGAGTATTCACTGCAGTACTTCAGTTTAAGCACTACACCCCGAAGCTCTTCTAAATAATTGCCACCTAGTCAGTCCTTTACTGAAAAAATGTGTCACAGTGACCACACTCCTCTGCGATACGACAAAGTCTGCTTGTGTGTCATCAAGACGCAGAAAGGCAGGAGAAAAATTATCTAACGGGATATCCAGATAACTTCAAAGAGACTCTTTTCGGTCTGTGACCTAAAATATCTGCACCGTCGTGGTGAAAATGGACAACAGAGCTAAAGATCTCTTGCACCCGCCACCCCAGACACCTTGCTCTAGAGTTTGGCAAAGCTGTGGATCTGCCAGGTGGAAAATTTGGAGTATCAAGTCCACGAGAGAACTTTCCAGAACCCTGCCTCTTCCATATTGGCAGATATTCATAAGAACATTAGCTGCAATATTTTTATTTATTTATTCATTCATTAGATTTCTACCCCGCCCCCCCTAAACAGCGTCTACTCGGGGCGGCTTACGAATATCATAAAATATTTTTTTAAAAAATATAAAGACATCAAACATTAAACAATTGAATCAATAAGATGGAATATTCAAGATGGGAATAATAGAAAAAAAAGAGATCCTTTTTTTAAATCTGATTTTTAACCTAGGCATATTTTCCTTCTATATTGAATGTGATTTATAGAGGCTGGGAAAGGACTTTTTTGAATTATAACCCCCCCCCAATCATCTAATGATAACAATCTTAGAACTGCAGAGCTGGAAGGGTCCCTCTGGGTCATCTAGTCCAGCTCTTCTCAAAGCGGCATAGTGGGGAATCGAACTCCCAACTTTTGACTCCACATCCAGAGATATAAACCACTCCCTCCACCAGTACTGCCATAGGCTACATTGGCTGGTTTTGTTTCTTGGGAGTTTGCCCAATATGCTTACACAAACTAACACAGCTACCTCGTCTAAAACTATTGGCAAGACGTTCTGGAAGCTACGGTCTTAAAAATGAATGCTTTCAAGATCTGCCTCCTTTTCCAAAAACAAAAAGCTAAAGCCAAAACCAACCCCCCCCCGAGAACTGTGAGATCTGAAGCACAGAGTAATCTAATGGAATAACCTCATACAGTATCCTTTCTAATTCCTCCTTCTTCTCCAAGTCATTCATCATCTCAATGCAAATTCAGCATGTATGTATGGAGCAAACGCTCCCTCTTGTGTAAAATGCAAAGCCTGGATCAAGCGGGCGAGAAACAGCATGCACTTGCCTGCCAGCTTTTTCACTCTTTTTGGACCGAACTGGCAAGGAAGGTTCGCCGGAAGAAGGGAGAAACAGGGCGAGCCCAGGGTGGAAATGGTATCCGTGGGCGTGGAATTACTCACTACAGGAGGAAAGGTAAGGAGCGGGTGGGATAAGCTTTTAATTTGCAAGTCTGTCGAGTCTTTGCCTGTCTTCTCGTATCTAAGAAGAGGGAATTGTAAGTGATTTCTCTTCACTTGCAAGAGGAAAATACAAGTGGTGCCCTGCATAGCAACGATAATCCGTTCCGGAAAAATCATCGGTATATGGATTCGTCGCTATGCGGAACAAAAAAGCCCATAGGAATGCATTAAAACCTGTTTAATGTGTTCCTATGGGCAAAAAACTCACCGTTATGTGAAAATCCTCCATACGGCTGCCATTTTCGATGCCCAGTAAGCGAGGAATGGGCGTGAAAACACAGTGGGTGGCCATTTTGTTTACCTGGCAGCCATTTTGGAACCGCCAATCAGCTGTTCTAAAAACATCGCTATGTGAAAATCGGTAAGCGAAACAGCTTACCGATCATCGCAAAACAATGTTTTACCATTAAA